TTTTGTTACGTGCGTATGGGAAGTCCTCTGGTGATCTCTCGGTTCAGGAGAGAATTGATGTTCAGACTGGAATAAAAATGATACTAAGACTATGTCTTGCTGATGGCTTTGATATGTTTCCAACATTGTTGGTGACTGATGGTTCGTGCATGATAGACCGCCGTATGGGAATTCATGGTCACCCTTTGGAGATTCAGGTTTGATTTCAATCACTGTACTAAAAAAGCTGTTATACCTGATAGGTTGGTGTTTAGATGGGACTAAAAAATAGTTGAATCAATTGTAGCTGGTTTAGTCCTTTGCTAGATTTGAGAATATTGCTCAGTTCGCATATCCTTGGAGATTCTCCATCGTAGAGTAATTTCAATTTTTCTTCTTCTGCACTGTGCTACTGAGATTTTCTCCTGTTAAATATATATGTAGTTTCTCGCAAAGGGGATTTGTGTGGGACCTGAACAGAATGAAGATTCCTTCTATTTCCTTAGTAGAGAAGTAAACAAATGTAGGGATATTAAATTGATCATATTCCAGAAGATACTTGTGCTATTGTTCATTTAATTCAAGGTCTGAGATCTAATCAAGACGTTTTCAATTGATTATTTTCAATGGGGTGTCGGGAACTTAGTGGACTTCACTGATTTAATAGATGCTGGATGGGAAAGAACGATTTACAGCTTTAATTCATCTGAAATAGGAAGCCCATATCCAGAGGTATGTGTCTTAAAAGTCATTAATGTTTAAATATTAGATTAGAGAATACAAGGTCCATAAGTTTAAATATTGTCTTACAAGAGTGTAGTGCCTTCATTTTCATGGAAGACTGTTATGATGCAACTCATGAGTGATCATCGTGTAACTTTGGTTGAATGTTAGATTAGGGCATTAAAGAGTATTTAGATCTTTTGCGTATTATTCTGCGCCCTTCTTTCTTTTCAGAATCATTTTTATTAGTGCATTTCTTCTGTATGTCTCAACTTGTGTGTGTTGATCTTCTATGCAGTTAGAGCTATTTATTCTTTATCTGAAAACTTAAATAAACAGTTGCTTTTGTTCTTTGTTAGATCCACCTTGGCTTTAGGTTATCTCAGGTTTCTCCCTAAGAATGTTGTTTAAGCTTACGTTTCAATTTGTTGCAGGCACTGTTTCATTCAGCACTGCTTTGTGCTCGAGAAATGCTTACACCAGAGGATGGATCAGCTGACCTTATCCGAGCATTAAATAATCGTCTTGTTGCCTTATCATTTCATATCAGAGAATATTATTGGATTGATATGAAAAAGCTAAATGAGATTTACCGGTACCAGACGGAGGAGTACTCCTATGATGCCGTTAACAAGTTCAATATTTATCCAGATCAGATTTCTCCTTGGCTGGTGGACTGGATGCCAAGTAAAGGAGGATACTTGATTGGAAATTTGCAACCTGCTCACATGGATTTTCGATTCTTTTCTCTAGGAAACTTGTGGTCTATAGTCTGCAGTCTGACAACAGATGATCAATCACATGCTATATTGGATCTCATTGAGGCCAAGTGGACAGATCTGGTAGCTGATATGCCTTTTAAAATATGCTACCCTGCTCTTGAGGGTCAGGAGTGGAAGATAATTACAGGATGTGATCCCAAGAATACGTAATTTCTACCTCGGTTACTTTAAGAAGTTCACTTTGTATTCTATTGGATCTTAATAATAGCTGGTCCATTATCTTTCTTCATCTCACATTATCTTCTTATTTTTAATGCAGTCCTTGGTCCTACCATAATGGAGGTTCCTGGCCAACTTTACTCTGGCAGGTAACATTTATCTGTCAGTCTTGAATTAGGAATTCGGTGCTTGTATCCGTCTTATCTTTGGTTGGGAGATTAGACCTTCCCGACCTGATATTTTGTCGCGGTGCATGCCGTTGCTCACATTAACATATTGTTACAACTTACATCTCTGTTTTGTGTTATGTCTCATTAGTTAATCGGAAATTATGTTACAAAGAATGACTTAAATTGCAGTGCATTTTTAATCTAGTTTCTATCTCATCATTCATATAATTTCTTTCATCATGTAAGCATCTAGTGAAGTTGTACTAGTTTGTTTTTAAGATAGAGAAAGATAGTGCAGAAAGTTTTGAACTAATTTCACTGGTGATATATAATATACTGTTCGTGTATGTAGTATAGTCAAAAGGTTTGCTCGTCTGTGTGTTCCGTAATTGAATTAGTTCCCCTAAGATACTATTATAGAATCAGCTGTGAGGAATTCAAAGTTGACGTGATCTCGTGAAACTTTTGTAGCTGGCTGTTGCTAGTATTAAGATGAATAGACCTGAGATTGCTGCAAAAGCTGTTGAAGTTGCAGAAAAGCGCATCTCACAAGACAAGTGGCCAGAATATTACGACACTAAAAAGGCACGGTTCATAGGGAAACAAGCGCGCCTTTTCCAAACTTGGTCTATAGCTGGATACCTCGTCGCCAAACTCCTCCTTGCCAATCCAAGTTCTGCTAAGATTCTCATTTCCCAAGAAGACTCCGAGCTTCTCAACGCCTTCTCCTGTGCTATCAGTTCTAATCCCAGAAGAAAAAAACGCGGTCCAAAAAGTCCCCAGAAAACCTACATAGTGTGAAGATCACACACAACCCCACAAATGATTGAATGTACAGTCATTGAGCCAGTTAAAGTGTATTGATAACTACATATAATTGTTTTGCCTGGTGTTCACAAGCTGGAATTCTATTTAATATTTCAGCTTATAATATAATGTTCTTCTGTAAACCTCAAACGAGTAAGCATCGTCATCGATGCTTGAATATGAAATAATTCATGATGAATTTTCTCTTAGAGTTCTCTTCTCCATATGGAAGTGCCTAAAATTGTTTTTGTATAAATTTTTCTGTTGTTCTACAGGGAAAAAAAGCCAGCATAGGCCTTATTTTATAGATTTGGCTATTTTCTGCAAATTCCTATATAATATTGTAACACTAAAGTATTCATTTTACACTTTACTTTTGTTGAATCTTGTGAGAAATGCTACGGAAGCGGCCACAGGAGTTTAGAACGAAACTATTTTTGACTTGGAAGACAAAGAAGTGTGATAAAGATGAGACCGTATAAAATGAATATTCGCGGTCGAAGCTTGGCTCTAGCCGATAGGCTAGCTGTAAGCTTGGCTACAGCGAAGCGCTTACCAAGCGCGAAGGATTCACACCAATTCTTCGATTTTTTATAGAAAAACTACGGATTCAGGTCGGCTCGGGTCGATAGTAGCCGTGATAGTAATGCCCCGGAGCCCAGTTTCAAACCCCGGTTCGAACAGGAGGAGTAGGCGCCGACCCATGAGGCGGACCTTGGAAAGTTTTAACATAAGCAGAAATCATATTCGTAAAGCAGAAACATAAACGCACTCCTATGAACGTGGAAAATATACCGAATTCAATTGGTCGATTCGAATTGGGGCGGGTCTATCTTCTTCTGGGCGAGCTGCGGAGCAACTTTTTCTTTCTTTCATTCCATCTGTCTTTGTTGATTGGTTTGTTGTTCCAACGTAGCGTTTATTTGCCCTTCTGTCCAGTGGATTCATTTCTTGGCGCAAATATTCACTTGTAGCATACCATATTTCAATGGATTGACGTAATTTTTCTACCGCGTGTACATTTCCATACTGATGGTGTTTTTCCAAAATCTAGGAATTTTTAACAAACAGGATCAAGAATCATTACTCTTTCGTTTCGACACAGGCAAAAATTGGAACAGAAATATCATTCGATTCGTCGATCCTCAAAAAAAGAAATAAGCAAGGTTCCGTCGTTGAGTGACAAATGGGAAATTTATGGGCTCGGGAGTTCCTCTATTCAATCCTTTTCCTTCTTCTTGTTGCTGGATATCTCGTTCGTACACATCTTCAAAAGGATTAGACGTCCCCCCATGCTACGGTTCCCTGCGGTCTGGGGAATCCGGAATCGTTGGTCACCAGACGCTCACTAATGAGTACCGCGTCTTCCCAGTGAAGTAGAGCCGTCTTCATGGGGCCTCAACGATCCCGTCTACGACTCTACCACCCAGTCAATTCTGTTCCAGGCTTGCAAATGGAGCCCGGAACTAGCTGCTGCTTGTGAGGTATGGAAAGAGATCGTATTTAATTTTGCACATCGCTTGATGTTTGTAACACCGAAGCAATTTAATCATAATATTCACAAATTACAGTGAGAATATCGCATACATTAAAGTTTATACGAAGATAAACATCTCATAATTTTTTTTGGTGTATGTCCAAGCTAAGTGGTGTGAATCGTAATCTAAACCCTTACAGTTATACTATAACTGTATATATAAAAGTTAAAACTATTTATTTTTTGTATATAATAGATATTGAACTATCGTTTTTTTCTCTATTTACCTCTCTCTATAAATTTTTTTTGACTCCGACACTAATATATACATCATTTATAAAAAAAAATTCCCAAAAGAACCCTACAAACTATAGGATGTTAGTATATTCCCCAAGAACAATATAGGTATATTGTTTTTAATATATGTAGCTTTCAAATATCTGTAGCCTAGAATCTAGATGGCTCAAAATATGCAACAATTAAACCATTAGTTAATATGCCACCAAATATGTACCAAAAAATTAATCTACACATAGTACCTTATATCACAAAACTCTTAAATTATAGCAATTTGTTTGTTATATCTTTTTTTAATCCGTTCAAACAAATATCTTTTTCGTCTTTTATCATTTCTTTAGTTCTAACTTTTCACATGACATGTTTGAGATCACAATATTAAAAAATATTTCAGTATATTTTACATAACTTTAAGATTCAAAAAATCTTCTTTACCTTCTTAAATTTTGTTTCAAATTTAATTAAGGCAAAAAAATTGACGGAGAAAATATAATAATAAAATTTGAATGTTTTGTTTTTATAAACGGGGTGGTCTTTAATCTTTGCTCTTCAAATAAACTGGTCTTTAGATCCGAACATAACTAGTAGAGGATATTATGATGCACAAGTTTAAACTAAAACTCGCGATAAAATTGATTGTTACGAAGACGCAAATTAAAGACCAACACGAAATAGAAACAAAAAAGGACAAATGATATAAAATAGTAGTATCATTCTGTCTTGGGCCATAAATGGGCCCAGACTCATTTCAACCCGCCGGCAATATGACCCACAAACCATTTTGCCGGCCCAAATATCTACACTTCTTTGATACTTCTAACTACCATTCAAAACAAAATATTATATATTTTTTTTTCATTATAACAAACCAAAAAAAAATTTCCATCAATCTTATTTACCTTCAAATATCCAAAATTTTCTCTCTCTCAAAAAAAAAAAATGTTAACATCTCCGGTTCACGATGACACGACCATCTCCTCAGCGTCTGCACCTGTCAGCTCGACCACGTTAGAGATAGGAGAAGGAGAAGTTCGTGTTAGCATGGACGCGGAGGTGGAAACGAACATGTACAATGTACATGCCTCATTTTCATCCTCTACTAAGCCCCATGCAACGTGTAGCGATCCATGCTGGAACGTCATGCAATCAGAAGTCTCGAGTTTGACCCTGGACGACTTTTGCTTCATTAGGAAACTTGGTGGTGGTGACATTGGCTCAGTGTATCTTGTTGAGTTGAAAGGTAATAATAAAGGTTGTTTGTTTGCTGCTAAAGTGATGGATAAAGAAGAATTGGTTAGTAGGAGTAAAGAAATTAGGGCAAGGACAGAAATGGAAATATTAGAAATGTTGGATCATCCATTTTTGCCTACACTTTACACTACTTTTAATACTGATAAATGGTCTATTTTGTTGACTGAATTTTGTCCTGGTGGTGATCTTCATGTTCTCCGGCAACACCTGCCGGAAAAGAGATTCGATGAAGCCGCGGTCCGGTTAGTAGTGTACTTCTCCCTCTACCTAATCGTTGTCTATATTATTAGTTTAGAAATCAATAACTAAAAACCTAGATCGGTTCTCAGATTATGCATGCACATACAATGAGAAAGAGAGTTGACCAGGCGGTCTATCGATCAATGTCTCACACGTAATTTTATATCTTTTTTTAAAAAAATTTATCTGTTCTCGAAGCTCGAACCCTAGAATTTTGATTTAGGTTTTTGAAGGATTTTTATCTAATACTCATTGATAGTACATCTAGCATTAATTATTCCAACTATATATTATAATTAACTATATGTCTTATTAATGATTGATGTAGTGATCAATGTGAATATTTGTACAGTTTGCTAATGGGCCCACATTTGCTATGATATATTTAATATTAATAACATGATATTTTTAATGTGTCCTACTATAATTAATTATGTGCTTTCAATTATTAGTTGAAACTTCTTGATCATGACCAAAAAAAATTAAATTAATGTAACATGTGAGTTTGTCTATTTGATGTAACAGGTTTTACACATCAGAAGTTGTGGTTGCTTTAGAGTATCTACATATGATGGGAATAATATATCGTGATTTAAAGCCAGAAAATGTGTTAGTAAAATTAGACGGTCATATTATGTTAACTGATTTTGATCTTTCACTAAAATGTGATGATTTAGTAATGCCTCAACTTGTTCATGACGAGGGTACTAGTCCAAATTACATACATTGTAATAATTTAAATGATCATAATTCGCCTCCGTATAATTCATCGTCATCGTGTATCTTGCCTAATTGTATCATGCCACAATATGTCTCGTGTTGGTACTCTAAACACATGAGAAGAAGAAGAAGAAGAAGAGGAGGAGGATCGAGTGTTGCGAGACCCTTGAGGTTGATAGCTGAGCCGATCGAGACTCGATCGATGTCGTTTGTAGGGACCCACGAGTACTTGGCCCCGGAGATCGTGTCAGGGGAAGGACATGGTAATGCGGTGGATTGGTGGACGCTAGGGATTTTCATGTACGAGTTGCTTTATGGTGTAACACCTTTTAGAGGACTTGATAATGAATTCACCCTTTCTAACATCGTGGCTCGAGCCTTTGAGTTTCCTAAAGAGCCATTGGTTCCAAACATGGCTAAGGATTTGATCAATCAACTTTTGGTCAAGGACCCCACCATGAGGATGGGGTCCATGATGGGGGCCACAACAATAAAACAACATCCCTTTTTTGATGGTGTGAATTGGGCACTATTGAGATGTACAACACCACCTCATATTCCATCAAATTTCAATAGTAAAAGAGACTTTGTCTCATCTTATGATGATGATGATTATGTGGATTATTATTAATTTCGAGTATCGATTATAGTTATTTTTATACTATTATATTAAATTTATGTATTACAACATGTAACTATTTGTATTAAGTTTGATATAATAGTCTAAATGATATAATCTGAGGCTATTTATAGTACCAAAAAAATGAGATATGTTGATGAAATTTTGAATATAGCTTGTGTCTTATTCTCCTAAATATTTTGATTTTTTTTGTAGGCAACTAATAATTTTTCAAATCATATTTATAGTTAGAAAATTAAAATGGTAAAATCAAGTAAGTATAAAAAATATTTCCCTTTTTTAACTCGAAATTTTAAATTTCACTAATTTGAGTGCATATCATTTTTAAGTATTTGATAATTTTTTTTTAGTTATATTTTTATCCAGGCTACTTTCCATATATAATAAGATAAGATTTTTTTTATTCAAATAGTATTTTTGTTCTTTATATTTATATTTGATAATTAAGTAAGTATAACTTTCACATATAGCAAATAAAAAATTCATATTTGTATGCTATAGCAAAGTTTGCATAATTGCACTCCATAACAAGCATAGGAACTGTATAATTCGCTATACATATACAATTGTATAATTCGCTGGCCTATTTTGCTGCAATTGTATAATTCGCAATCCTATTTCACTGCAATTGTATAATTCACTGTCTATTTCGCTGCAATATTTGTATAAAATTTGCTTTGCATACAATTGAATCGAAGTAAAATGTATGTATATTGCATAATTATAAGTGTATAGGAAGAAGATATATGTTTTTCTCTCGCTTTATACAAAAACAGAAACACAATTTATACACTTCTGTTGTATAAAGCGAGAGAAAATTGTATTTCACTGCAATTGTATAATTCGTTGGCCTTTTTTGCTGCTATATTTGTATAAATTTTGCATTTGTCTACAATTGAATTGAAGTAAAATGTCTGTGAATTATATAATTAAGTGTATAGCACGGAGATATATGTTTTTGCATGTGTATATACAATTTTCTCTCGCTTTATACAAAACAGAAACACAATTTATACACTTATGTGTATAAAGCGAAAGTGGCGAGCGAGAATGGAAGAGTAGCGAGCGAGATTTTTGGGAGAGAGGCGACTGACAAACTTTCGCTAACGTTTGCTATGGAGCACAACTAAATCAAACCATAGTTACTCCATTTATTTTAGGTTATTAGTTTGCTATTATATACAATTATCCCTTTTTTTATTCAAATAGTATTTTTGTTCGACTTATATTTATATTTGATAATTAACTAAGTATATCAATATATTTTCCTTTTTAATTCTTAATTTTAAATTTCAATAATTTTAATGAGTGCATATCGTTTTTAAATATTGGTAAATTTATTTTTATAGTTTATCTTTATTTATGCTACTTTTCATATGTAATATGATAAGAAATTTAATTTATTTCATTGGGAAAAGAATTTATGTGTATAAATATCAGGGTGATCCATCTTTTATAAGTATAATTTTTTGAAATTAATTAGTTCATCAATAAAGCTTATTTAATTCTAATAATAGAGCGTAAGAAGATTGCTGTATGCCTCATTTTCTTAATTTATTGTGTTTTTGCACTTTTTTATGATATAAAAAATAAGAACGTTATAAGTTTTAGTTCTTACAATCACTCATGGATAAATTTTTACATGAAACATTAGACTTAAATTAATGATTAATTTATTTCATAGTCATAATTATTTTTATTTGATTACAATACTGAAAGTAGATGTTTCTTTTTATTTATTCAAGCTAAACATTAAAAGATAATTTATTACTTATTTTTTAAATTTATATATATAATTAACTATAGTTATTTCTTAAAATCCAAAACTTTGAATTTATAATATTCAAAGATTGACATAGTTATTATTCTATTACTTATATATAAAAAAATATATCATTAACAAGTAAAAGTAAAAAGAGGAAATATTTCTTAGATTCATCTGAAGTGTCCTTTGACTCTTTGTAGAAAAAAAAAAGGAAAAATAATTATAGAAACAAGATTGTAAGATATAAAATATAAAAAAAGGAAAATAAATATGTGAACAAGCTTAGTTAGAGAATTACAAAAAGTCAAATTAAGAAGACAATTTTGTCTTTAGTGAAGGTAAATAAGTACTTAAATCTTATTTAAGTGCATTAATTTGATTGAGAATAGAAAAAAAAGTAATTTACTGTTCAATTTTTATTTATTTATTTCTGACTTTTGAATTTCAAATCTAAAAGAATGGATAACAACTCACTCGATCAACATATTCTTGACGAAGAGGTACAACAATAACAAAATTATTGATTATTGTTTTGGTAGAACTTCATAGTTTTGAGTGAAATACTATATTGTGTATTTAAAGATACATTTGTATAAATAATTTATTAACATTCTTTTTTTGACAAATTTAAAATTGTAGCTCGATGTTTTTAGAACTTTTTAAATGATTTTTCTTGTGAAACGCATTTATTTTTTGGTGTGTAGCTTGTTGACATCGAAAAATCGAAAAAAAGTAGGATCTTTGAGCATCTTGAGAATGAGGTATGTTGATTTTTTTCGTGTGTTACGCTTTTTATATTTTAATTTTTTTAGTGAAAATTTTGATCATGTAACGATGGTGAAGAGGGCCAAGGGAATGTATAGTTATACAACTTTGTATTTATGCATGATAACAAAGTTTGCTAGAATAAATAATTATTGCTACAAGGTAGGGAGAAATAAAAAGATTTTTGTTTTGAAGAAACCCAAAGAAGAAAGTTTATTAAGTATTTTTTATATAATATAAATATTCAAATAAAAATAACAAAAAAAGGTATTGATTATATCAATTATATGTAAAGATATTTGTATTTAAATATTAATTATATGTAAAGATATTGATAATATATCTAAAGATAAATTAACAGTATAATTTTTTTGTCCATTGTCAGTAAATAGTACCTAATCCCTCAAAATATCTTCGATTAACATGTAGATAAAAAATTTTAAAATTAAAAATTGTTTTTTTTTTTAATTTTATGCGATACACATTACGTTTTATATACAGGTTATGGACGGTGAATTCGAAAAAGTGGATGAATTGGAACTAAACCAAATATATCAATCCTTTGAGAGCGAGGTATGTTTAATGGCATCAATACTTATTAGTGTAAAATTATACTATTTATATATAATTAAAATTATAGCATCAATACTTATTAGTGTAAAATTATACTATTTATATATAATTAAAATTATTTCTGTATAGGTTCTTAGAAACCAATAAAATGCATGTAAGTGCACTCATTCAATCACTTGAGGATGAATATACCAATGATGTTGCACAATATCTTACTATAATTTATCTGAAATCTCTGCTCGTTTAAATTATAACGCTTGAATTTTTTAAAAATAATGATGCATGTTCAATATGAATCTATCGATATTTTAAAGAGTCCAAGCAACAAAAACATGTTTTCACTAGTTGGTGTGCTTTTTTTAGGGTATGGTTAATTAATAGCGAATTTCGAGACGTTTACTTGACATTGATATAAAATAATATATATGAACCTGTTTCTTTGATATGCATAGCGTTAGATGTTATCAGACAAAATTGAATGTTAATACTTGCTTCTTGTGACCTAGTTGATCCATGGTTTATGTTTCATCTTTCGTTTGTTTCGAGAAGTGATCTATTGATCAATACTAATGCTTTCTTCTCTCTTAATTCTTTTTCGATACATTGTTCATAGATTAACAATAATATATCTGAACTCTATTAATTGTCTCTGTCATTCTAGGAGTCTTTTCTTTTTTTACGTATACATATCTATTCATTTGATAGAATCCACTAATTTATATAAATAGCTATAGTAAAAATATGCGAATGCTGAATTTATACAATCGGTAGCAGAATCATACAAATTCTGAATTTATATAATCAGGAATCAAATTATACAGATTTCAAAAATTTATTCAATCAGGGACCGAATATATACAACTTTTGAATTTATTAAATTAGAAAACTGAATAACAAAAGCTTCCTACAATAATTTGTATTTTGAAAAACTTTTTTTATACTTATTGATTTAATATAAATATAGAGTTAAGAAACGTAATTAGTACATACTAGTTATTTTTTAATCATATCTCAAATTTGATCAATACAATGAATGAGTTCCTAAAAAGGCAAAGTAATTATTACTACTTACTACTAATTTCTCAATGCCAAATATAGTTAAATTATCATTTGCTTCTTAAAGAATATGTATAATTGACTTTCATTTGACAAAAAAAGGAAAAATAATTATGTAAATGAGGTTGAGATAAATGACATTTAAAAAAGGAAAAAATAGTTATGGGAACAAGCTAAAGAGTTGAAAATAAGTATTCGTTTCTATTTAAGTGTTTTAGTTTGATACATGAAAAAAAAAGCAAGCCAGTCACTACTCAAATTTTATTTTCTCTAAGATTTTTGGGTTTCGAGTTTACAATAATGGATGGCAAACCACCCAATCAAAATTTTCTTGACGGAGAGGTAATCAACAACATTTTCGATAAAACTCAATAATTTTAAGTTAAATGTTGTATTTATATTTAATAATTTTATTAAAATCCGAAGCTTCTTGATTTTTTTTTTCATAATTCTTCTTTTAATACATATTCACATTTTGTGTGCAGCTTGTGGACATCGAGACATTGAAAAATAGTTGGATTATTCAGCATCTTGAGGATGAGGTAAATATATTTTTTTAAAAATTTATAGTAAGTTATTGTATTATAAAATTGAATTTTATAAGATCGACATTTATTTTGATATAGAAAAAGTAGTATTTTGTAAGATTTCGAACTTTTAAACTCAAAATTATAACTCAACGTCTAATTATTTCTAGAACTTTCTACTATGATTCTTCTTGTGATACATCAGATTATGGAGGATGAGTTTGAGAAAGTCGATAAATTGGCATTTAACCAATTATGTCAGTCCTTCGAGAACGAGGTATGTGTAATAACATCGATATTTATTGATGTAAAATTATACTGTTTATATATGATAAAAATTTATTTTTGTGTAGATTCTCGAAAGCAATAAAATGCATATACTTACACTCATTCAATCACTCGAGGATGAGGTATTGCACTTTTTAGTACCTTATTATATTACTGTAACAAAAATAA